GTTTTGTTCTTTTGCTGGTTTCCCCAAGCATTATTAGGCTTACAAAAATTGAACAGAGAAGAGAGTACAAATTAAAAATAGTCCCTCTCTGTATATTCCTAAGTGAATTATATTTCGATTACTGAATGATTTGTTAGTCTTCTAAAAATGCTGAGCTAGTTAATAAAATTTATAATACTTAGGAATATTCTTTTTTTTTTTTCTGGAGCAACCCAGAGCCTCACAGCTTCTAGGCAAGTGCCTTACTACTGAACTAAAACCCGAACCAAAATTATTCTTTACAACAGAAAACAGTGTGTGTGAGGTGTTTGTGGAGGCTGTGGGTTTTGTGTGAGGTGTTCAAGAAGGCTGTGGGCTTTGACAGCAACAAATCGATTTTCAAAGAAAGCCAAGTTGAAACCTTTGAAAATTTGAACTTTTAAATAAGGGGGAAATTTAAGAAATATTGAATATAATGATTAAAATGGTAATATTTCAATATAAGAATTTATTTCAAAAGCTATACAATTAAAATATTTTGAAGTTTTTATTATGTTAAAGTTAGATTTTATTGAATTGGTTGTATTATTTTCCATTTTGTTTCTAGAAGGAAGCATTTGCAATTTCTACAAACAAAAAAGTCATTTTTTAAAAAAAAATCCATTAAATGTTTGATTTGAGATTAAGATCAAAAACCAAAATAGCCAGGCATGATGACTCTGTCATCTCAGCTCTTGGGAAGCAGAAGGTTCTCGAGTGCACAGCCAACCTAGATGTGAGATCTTGTCTCAAAACCCAAGGTCAGAGATGAAGTCAGTGGTAGAGCCCTATCTACCCTGGACAAGACCCTGCGTTTGATTCCCCAGCACAAAAAAGCCTAGAATAAGGACCTAGTTATAAATGAACAAATGTAAATTATTAGAGACAGATAATGATGATTTATGGAAGTATATATTTTGTTGCAAAGAACTAATGTGAAAATTTAAGAACAAACTTAAAAAAAATACTTTGAAACGTACTCACAAAGATTGACACTGATAATAAATATATCACGGTTCAAGCGAACATCAGATTTACAGGGATGTTTTATTGTCGTGTATAACGGGGAAAGCCCTCTATGTGTGCCTGGTGGCAGGTGTTATGCATATAAGTTTAAGCACAAATAAAAAGGTACTGAAATCTGGAAGTTTACTGACTGTGCCAAACAGCATCCAAATATAATTTCAAATACTGTATGCTTGTGAATGGCTGTGCAGTTCGTATCACTGTAAACTGTTTACAACCATCTCTCTCGCTGCACACCTGCTCTCCATCTCAACAGCCACCGCGAGGAGCTCTGCTTCAGTGAGTAAGAGAGACAGGGCATGAGTGGATACAAAACGTGTCCAACAATACTTGCTGCTACCCAGGTTTTCTAGGAAAGCTCAGGATGGTCTCAAGGTGAATTCTGGGGTTGAGTAGGGTTTGAATAAAAGAAAAGAAGGCCATTCGAGCAGCAGTAACTCCCCAAGGGAAAAGGAGAAACGAAGGTATTTACTCTGCAAGTGTAATCCCTTAGACAGTGGGCAGCAGACAGGGTTAGCAATAGTGGCAGGTAATAGGGAGTTTAGAATATGCACAGATCATGGAGAACCTCGACGGTCTGGGTCTGATCGCTGTTTAGTGAGCAGGGCTTTCTGGTCTACAAAAAGTAGTCAGGAAGATGGATGTGACCTGGGTAGGATGGACCAGAGATGGTATGTGGTAGCTCAGATGTAATTGCCCCCTCATGAGCTCATCCGGAGTGGCACTATTAGGAGGTGTGACTTTGTTGGAGTAGGTATGGATGGCCTTGTTGGAGGACATGTGTCACTTTGAGGGTGGGTTTTGAGGTCTCCTTTGCTCAAGATACTGCCCAATGGCACAGTCTACTTCCTGTTGCCTTCTGATCAAGATGTAACCAGCACCATGTCTGCCTGTGTGCCCCGTGCTCCTCACCATGACGGTAATGGACCGAACCTCTGAAACTGTAAGCCGCCACCTCCATTAAATGTCTTCCTTTCTAAGAGTTGCCGTGGTCATGGTGTCTCTTCCCAGCAATAGAAACCCCTTTTGTATCTCCCTGATAACATCGTCTCCCACTCCAACCAGGGAAACTACTAAATTCTGAATTGGTATTTCTCACCCCTAGTCAGTATTACAATACTGAGAGGACCCCAAGCTTTGGACTCTCTACTTTCCCCTGAGCACTGTGAGACTCCCCCATGGTGGTGTACTGCCAATTCTGAACTGGCGCTTATCACTCCTGATCATTATTATTATATTTATAAAATTTAGAGGATCCCAAACATTGCCCTGCTTTCCCCTGGGCACCATGAGAGTCCCCCATGCTGAGGTATCTCCATACTCAGAACGGTCCTGTGATGGCAGCATCCGTAGACTTTATCCTGACACAGGAAATCTTTCTCCTAAAGTGGTTTGCCTTGAAGTCTCTCTTAGCCATAGTGACATCTAAACCAGCATCTCAGTCTGGTTGGTTGGTGGTTTGTGCCTCTTCACCTTCCATGGTTCTGTGTCTGTGCGGGCTTTTTCAGCTTTGACTGTGCCTAGAGTTTACATCAGATCTCTATATTTCATGGCACGTTTAAGGCTATTTCCTTTTATCATGGTTCGAGATAAGCATGGATTCTTCTCAACTGTCTTATTAGTCCGTGTTTCCTAGGTTTCCTCCCCACCTCGTGTTTTGTCTTATTTTGAATTGATCAAGATGTTTTGGGTTTGGGGGATTTTGTTTGTTTGTTTTATGTGAAGGAGCATGGGGTGTACTTAAATTCTGCTTCTCCTTTTTACATACCCAGTGGTTACGTTTATAATCTTTCTTCTATATTAGCTTGTGAGAAGTATTAGTAAAATGTACACATAGTTGACATTTTATGAAGTCTAAAATTAAACGTCTTTATCCTCATCTTCCAAATAAATGAATAACTAAAAAGTGGTGGTGGTGGCATGACCAGGTGGTGGTGGCATGACCAGGTGGTGGTGGCATGGCCAGGTGGTGGTGGCATGGCCAGGTGGTGGTGGTATGGCCAGGTGGTGGTGGCGCACGCCTTTAATCCCAGCACTCAGGAGGCAAAGGCAAGAGGATCTCTGTGAGTTCGAAACCAGCCTGGTCTACAGAACGAGTTCCAGGGAGAGACTCCAAAGTTACAGAGAAACCCTGTCTTAAAAACAAAACAAACCAAGGCCAGTTGACTGGGACTGAGCGAGCACGTGATCCAGCCAGATTCTCTGAATGAGGCCGGATTCTCTGAATGTGGCTGGCCCAGAGTCTTTCTGAAAAGCCATTGACAATGACACTGGGACTTGTTTCCTCTGCATATACTGGATTTCTGGGATCCAGTCTGTTTGGATGCTCACCTTCCTGGACCTGGAGGGAGAGGGGAGGAGCTTGAACTACCCACAGGGCGGGAGACCCTGACTGCTCTTGGGGATGGAGAGGGAGGAGGAGAGGGAGTGGGAGGAGTGGGAGGGGGTTGGGAGGAGGGGCAGAAATGGAGACTTTTGTATTTTAATAAACTTTGAGAAAAAATAAAATAAAAGTCTTATCTTGATACAAAAAAAAAAAGTAGTGAAATGCCACCAACCTAAGACCACAGTTATTTATGGCCTTGGGGTTTCCCAAGTAGGCATTGTTGGCATCAATCCAAACTTAGCTCTTTCGTGTGCTGTCACCCTCTTGGGGCTGTTTTCTCTCCCCACAAAAATCTATGGAGCCAGCTCTCAGTGTGTGAATCTACACACAGTTGTTTCCAATCTGTGGTCTTACACTAAAGATGTTATCCTTTGTACCCACACCAAAGACGCTGTTCGTTGTGGGGTCTCATGTGCAGGCCAGAAAGGGAGAGGGTCCTTTAGTTCAGTCGTTTCTTTTCGGTGAGCCAATCCCAGGTCTCTTTCCTCCTCGCACTGCCTTGTATAGCCTACATTCAAGTTCTTTCCAGCCACATTTGCCTCCGGGTCAGCTCAAAATCTTCATGTGTTCCCCCTTCTGGGCTCTCTTGTCACGTTCTTGATTTGGCAGCTGAAGATTTCTCTCTCTTAACTGCAAGCTCAGCAAGGCGGTATCCAAGGTGCTTACTGAGATCTGTCCGCCATCTAGGCATTTTGAAGCTGGGACAGCTTAATCTTGTGAGTCTACCTCCTTCCTTTGTTTGTTTGCATAGAGGAGTGTATTCCACCTGTAGACTCTCGTGTTTATAAAGCCTGGAACTTTGCACATGAAAATGTTAGAATAGACAAGAACACACAAATATAAAGAGTGTGATTCATCAGCTGACTGTTTAATAATGGCCTTGATTTGGAGAAGAGCTAGTGTCAGATCATAGAATAGGACTCGTGGAGCCAGCTTTGCACGGTTCTCATCCAGTGACGTGTTGAAGGAACCCAGAAAGGCGTTCGTGATTCAGTGCTACATAAGCTGCTTTGTGTAACCCTGTCTTTTATTTTTGTGTGCGCGCATGAACACACACACACACACAAACACACACACACTATATATGTAGGTTGAATTTTTTTCACAAAAAAGATTTGGGGATGACATATTAAGGAATGTTTTTGTTTACTTCTGCTGGCTTCTATTTTTTAAGTACTTATGTTTTTTCATGTAAAGGATATAATTATTTACAGCACAAAGGCGGTGGTGGCCCACGCCTTTAATCCCAGCACTCAAGAGGCAGAGACAGCAGATCTCTGTGAGTTCAAGGCCAACCTGGTCTACAAAAGCTAGTTCCAGGACAGCTAAAGCTGTATCACAGAGAAATCCTGCCTCGAAAAAGCAAAGACAAACAAAACAAAACATACAGCACATTGTAAAGATCAATACTCTACTTTCTAGACTGCGTATATCTTGTGAGCTAGCCTGTCATCCAAAACAAGTATTATATCGGGTCTGCGGGACCTCTTCTTCCAGACTGCTGCCTTACAGTTCGTGATGGCTGATGACTCAGATACAATTCCCGTGTTCTGTTTTGTTGTGCACTTAGGTGAAGCGATCAATGCCTCAGACAGACAAGCAAGTATGCATCCCACCGGAGCTTCCGGAACTGCTGAAGCAGTTTACCAAAGCTGCCATTCGAACCCAGCCTCCGGATCTCATCCAGTGGGCGGCCGAGTAAGTTGTTCCTATCAGAGGGCAGGGGTGAGGAAAGAGGGTTTGTGGGAAACTGAAGAGGTTGGCAAGCCCTCAGTCAGGCAATCAGGCTGTTAAGGAGCAGCTGAGTTTTAAAAATAAATGCATCAAACAGAGAGAGGATGGGACGCCCTTCCCTAAGCTCGTAGCATAAGAGGAAATAGGCCAAGTATCCTGGGATAAAGACTACCAGTTAATTTACTACGTCACGCTTAGCACACGACCACCTAGGTCATCCCTGCCTCACATCAGCTTGTCCTGGTTGGAAGGGGCCTGGGAATCTGGCTTGCAGCTCAACTCACCTTTCCTTGGTTTACGCCTCAACTTATTCTCTTCTCGCCGCTAGATGGCAGCAGTACACCTAGTGGGGCGGTGCGCCATCCCGCAGGGAGGAGGAGGAGGTGGTCTCCCTCCAAGCTGGTTCCCTCTGATTAATGAAACACCTTCCTCCCATGGCTGTGGAAACTCAAATCGGTGCCAGAATAAAGACGCTTTGCGTCCCGTCTGGGGGGTGGGGTAGAGGGCCTGTTATTGATTAAAAAAAAAAAAAAAACCAAAAAACTAAAACTGATCCCTCCCCTCTGCGTGAAGATGTCCGTGGTCACACGACTTTCTGGGAAAGGAGGCAGAACTGGGTGACGAGGTCAAGTTGGGCTCTATGGTGTGTCTCTAGCACCCTTGCTCCTCGAAGGGCCCCTGGAGGCTGCTCAGTGGATGAACTTACTCAATGGGCTGACCTCACGGTAGCCGCTTCACATAGAAAACCTCTCAACTACGAAACTGCTACTTACACGTGCCTGCTGGAAACTGGGCAGCTTCGGTTCCTTGGGCTGGAAGCTAACAAGACGCTCCCAGGTCCTTTTCTTGCTGTTTTTCTTGCTGCTGGTTACTTCCTTAGCGGGGCCTCTGCGGGAAGATACCTCGGTCTGTGGAGGGAAAAGGCTTGAGGAAAGAGAATCTGAGTCTGTGGGGGTGCATCCAGCAGGTGGTGGAGACAAGCGGTGGAGCCCTTTCAGGAGGCAAAAGCTCCCTGGCTCCCAGGTTGAGCCAGGAGGAAGCCTTTTAGAAAGTAAAGCCCTGGTACTTTTAAATGACCTAAAGGGAGTCGCTTTGCTTAGTCATGACTCCTGTGTCGGTTTCTATTTTGAACTGTATGTATTGCCTCTAAGATTACACTTTAATGTCAGAAGACTAATTTCTTTTGGCATAGACAGATTTTCTATTATGCCATATGATTGCCTAAAACTCCATTTTATTGTTCTTGTGCTCCTCGGTTATCGGAAGAAAAATGACATTTCTTGATATTGTCCCTGACATTTATGGAGAATAACTTTCTACCGCTGTAGCCTGCTTGCTCCATATTGTGGTGTGATATATACACATTTTTTTTTAGAGATCTGTGCAAGATCAGTCTGTACTTAAACTCAATGAAAAAGAGCATGGCCTAAGAACATTCTGCATCCCATTTAGACACCAAAAGCACTCAACCACTCAATTTCTGTGGCTCCCAAACTTGTAGGGTTCCAGCACATGGAACGCCATCAGGTATCTCCAGGGTAAAATCAGTATTTAATTCATCACATGCAGGAATTTCCTCCCCTGTGCCCCAACAGTGTAGAAGCCAATTATCCCGGCATCAGCGGGGCAGATGCCAATTGGTCCTGCAGCAGGCTGTGTGAGAGCCTAAATCTCTCCAACCATAGCCATGGTATCACTCACTTGCAAATGGAACTCAGAGATTTAGAGGGCTGAGTGTACGGATGCGGCTTCATTTCCGCCAACTTCTAACCAATAACACAACTCAAATACTCTTCCTCCGAGAGTGCCAAGAGTGGCTCCACCCAGGTACATCTGCATAATGGGTGCTGTGGTAGTTCAGCCATTTCACCTCCCTCATCTGGTTGTAAAGTCAGAGGCCACAATCCCATTCTGGGTGTCCCATTGTATCCGCCCCCCCCCCCCAACACTGGTCTACCTCCAGAGAGTTCCCGGGTAAAGGCTCAAAAGCATCAAAGTGTTTCCACAGCTGAGAACCTCCAGCCAGGGACTAGAAGTTACTGTCTCCATCCACGTCTCTTTAGTCCTGCTTGTCTTGTGTCTCAGAGATGGGCAATAGTTAGCTCCGCCGTGTATATTGACCCTACAGAGGCCTTTTATAAAACACCCTCTGTATTTTATGCTACCTGCTTCTGAAGAAAGGAACGGAGTGAGGGCAGGAAGGGGTGGAGGTTTGTGGCTCAGGGATAGGACGAGTTTGATGGGCACAGACCCTGGCATCTTGTTGCTCACGTCCTCTCCCTGTGGCAGGCGGCTTATTTCCATATCATGCCAGTCTTGAAATAGAACCTGACCTATCTTTCACATCACCCGCAAATCAAGTCCATCCCACAAAGCTGCAACACACGGCAGCCATATTTAGCTAAGTTCTGAGGGAAGAGAGAAGGGGTGCCTTGTACGCACCCTATCAGCACCGTATCAGGTTATTCTATCCCCTCCTTGACGTGCCTTACCGCCCTTCTCCCCTTCACTGAGGTCCCGTGCCGGCCTCACTCACCCTTGGAACATTCTATCTGCTCTTATTTTCATAGAAGCACCTTCTCCCCACCTACCAAACACACACATACAGATATCCTATCAATGTCCTAGGATCTCCGTTTGTCTATGCATGCGAATAAAATACTAAGAAGGGCTGGGAGGGGTGATTGAACATGCCTCAAGTGATGGCTTGCCAAAGTTTTCTTGATTGTTCCCCGTTATTCTTAGAGAAAAGAAAACCTTTTCATTCTCTAAGTGTTCTTCATTCCTTAAAGTGGAAATAACACAGACTTTGTCCGTATGCGAACCAACTAAAATACTGGTTTTTTAACTACTCACTTCCTCCAAAAGAAAAAGGAAAGAAAACTAAATAGTTAAACTAACTATTCAGGGGTCCCTGGAGCCTGGGAGCCTTCCTCTATTCCCTTTTCTCTTCAGGTATTTTGGGGCCATGTCCCGTGGAGAGATGCCTCCAGTGAGAGAGAGGTCTGAGCAAGTCACTTTGTCCAACTGGGCTGAGCTGACACCCGAGCTGTTGAAGGTCCTGCATTCTCGGGTATGGAGAATTCACGGATGGTGTGGAGACTGAATGGGTTAGGCACAGGTTACCTGTACTTCCGTCAGGCAGGTAGCCATCAGCACTACCCCAAAGTTTACTAAAGCCTGGACTGAAAGGGCTTCCTTCAGAGAAACAGGAATCAGTATGTAAGAAACTGATGGCTGGGTTGTCTCCTGGGATCATCACAGGTTTCCCCCAAATCTGGAATGCTATTTAGGGGCTCAGTGGAATGAGTGCTGCCTAGCCTAGAGATAGTAACTCCCCGGGCTCCTCAGCATCTCCCTGATGGATCCAGACCATGAGAGGCCTCGCACAGTCTGGAGAGGAAGTGCAGACTACTTTCCCCACCGTGCAGGTGCAGGCACAGCCCAGCCTTCAGGACGAAGCATGCCAATCCCCACACATTCTCCTAGGAGTTGACCTGTGGTGGAAAAGGAGGGACTAGCTTGAGAAAACTGGTGGTTTGTCCAGTTCCCAGGATCTGGTTGAGCAGCACGATGCCCCACATTAGGGGAGGCTTGGGTGACCGAGGACCCACTGGAGCTTGGGTTCCACAGTTCCAACATTTCCCTGGACTCAGAGGCCCTGGCAAAGGGTTGGGACACTTACTGGGGCATCTGCACCCTCACCGTGCCATTAGCTAACTGCCACCCATCCTTTTCCGTCCGCTTTCTAACTGCCAAGTTTTCTGCGGAGTGAACATGGCAGAGCTCTCAAGTTCCTGGACCCAACAATGTTAGACATCCATGCTAAACCCTATAGGTCAGCCATAGGGTACCACATATCACTCTTTCAGAGACAGGAGGGATATACGTGAAACTCTGCAGAGAACCCTGTGTAGTCTGGGAGAGACAATGTCATTCTTGATTCATTAAAGGTCTCAGGCAAGCCTCTGTCGACCTGCCTGCCTTACACAGGCAACCCAAGAACAAAACTAGAGACCATAAAGGCATCATTTACAAATGGAATGTACAAATGGAATGGAGCTCTTTACCATAATTCTGAGGTCTGGAATTTAAAAATATTAAAACTGTGTCACAGCCTCGCAAAGACAACTGTCCAGTGGGATCCTCTGGCCTCTCCAGCTCCCCACCCTCCTCCTAGTGCTGGGAGAACTCAGAGCATCTTGCCTGAGGTGCTCACGTGTCTCTTGTGTGTCCTCTGTCCTGAAGGTTGCTGGCCGACTGATCATCCACGCAGATGAGCTGGCCCAGATGTGGAAGGTGCTGAATCTCCCAACAGATCTGTTTAACAGTGTGATGAACGTGGGTCGCTTCACAGAGGAGATCGAGTGGCTCAAGTTTTTAGCCCTTGCGTGTAGCTCTCTCGGAGTTGTAAGTGAGCTTTGGTTGTGTGCCTGCACCGTGTCTCCCAGGGCAGAGGGTTGGCATGACTCAGCACATTGGTGTGCCTGTACTGTGTCTCCCAGGGCGGAGAGTTGGTAAGGCTCAGCACATTGGTGTGGGTAAAGCTCTGGATTCGGTTCTCAATATGCAAATGACAAACTTTGAAATGTCCCATAACTTTTCTCTGGGCCTGAGAGGACAGTGCATCTGCTCCCTTTCAGCTCCCCAGGGATGGTGAAAAGAAAAACTCCCTTTTGTGCCTTCTTCTGCTCTCTGAATTAGGTCATTTCCAGGCTCAGTGATCAGAACCAAGAGGTGTAGGGAAAGGATGGGGCAGCTCTCACCAGGCTCTGCAGAGAGCTGGCCAAGTTTGGCTTCAGGTTTTTTGTGACTTTTAACCATTGCCCTCAGATGAAGTTTCAGTCTGTTCTTCGTTCATGACTTCTAGCTGTATGATAAGTCGTGTTTCCTTGTGGGGTCTAGATACCTGGAAGCCATGCTGGTGGCGACCTTAAAGGGGTGTTCAGCCTTATAGAAAACGGCTGGCAAACACAAGACACAAGAGTCAGAAAAAGAGAAAGCAAAGAGGATTGGAAACATTTTTTTTTAAAGAGACAGGGGAAAAAAAGTTTTGATTTCTAGAATCATAATCTTGGAGAGGGGAAGTTCATACCGACTCAAGCCTTTTCCAAATTAGTTTGAAAATTGGAAAAGTCATTTTTCCTGTTTTGAAAGAAGGAAATGCTGAAGCCAGCTTTTATGTGCATTTTAAAACGAGGTGGCATCTAGGTGGACTCACTCTCATTAGTCACTGATAATGAACCAAAATGAATCAGGAATGTTTTTATGAAAGTGAGCCTTTACTAATTTCTAAAGCCCTGAGATACATGTAAAAGTCAATTAGGAGATCATTGCCTCCACACAAGCCAACAAGGATGAAAAAGGAACTTGGCTCTCTCAGCACAGCCAGGCACGATCTTGGTCTTTCTTTTCGAATGTGCTCCGAACACGTACTTGGCATTTTTGTTTCGGTGTAAATTTAGCAGGAATATTGTAATCCAACTTTTCCCGTGGGTTTCCCCTGCAACCGATTCATAATCATTTCTCCAGAGAGGAGGAAAGAGAGGAATATTTGTGGGGGTTTTTTCATTGTTTTTCATAGAAACATTACATAATGAATAAATGACTATTCTCCAAGGGCAGGCAGTGGGGTGGGGGTGTAAACCTAGCAGGGCAAATGAGCTGTCAACCAGGATGAAGCTCACATTTCTTGGGGAAAGAACCTCAAGGAGCGAAAGAAATCACAAAAGAAAACTACTTTAAAATACACACATTTTATTAAAGTCTCATACGTCTACACTTTATTATCAAGATGCTCTGAGATTCTCTTTCTCTGTTAATTCTGACCTTGATCTACCTCATCTTCAAAGGATAGAGTAGGAACTGAGTAGATCTGATCCAATCTTAGCTCTTAGATTGGTGCCGTAAATGAAACCGCCTCCAGGGTTTCTGGGGTTCCTCATGCTCTTCTCCAGTAGCAATGCAGTGCTTTAGGAAAGGGCTGCTCTGGGATGAAAGGGTGTGGCCTCTTTAGGCCCTCTGGTCTTCACTGCACCTATAGCTTAGGCTTTTGCATCTCTTGGTTTGGTCAAAGCATCATAATGGTCCCCACTAGCCCATCTGTTGCGCTCCCCACCCCCCGACCCCGCTGGTGTTTTCTGTGCACTGTCCTCATCTGCTCCCTGGCTTTGGTGTGTGAGATGGCTGAGTCATCTTCATGTCCCCATACCTCACAGTAGCCTGGGGGTGACTTTGGAAAGTCACAACTCCTTTTCTGCTTTGCACATCACATACCTGGGAGCCATGTGCCTGCCTCCCAAACTTGGAGGAAGCCAGGAGGTGAGCTGTATTTTTCTCCATCTCTTCCAAAACAAGGATGTTGGATCAAGTGTTCTATAGGGTCCAAACTTTCTGTCCCATTTATCTGCTTCCACCAAAACAGCCTCATGCCCTTCATTGTGCCCATCAACACGCAGGAGTGAAGCCGGCCTGGAAGTATAGTCTATACCAAAGGTGCCTGTGGACCCAGGAAAATACCTACACCCGCTTATGTCATGCTGGAGCTTAATTGTGGGGCTGCTCCATGCTGTAAGCAGTCAGCTTGTGTTCCCTGAACTCATGTGTTGAAATTTTGCAAGGAGTGGGGCCTGAAGTCAAAAGAGTGCAGTCCTCAGTAACAGGGACTGGACAGTCTGTCTTATAAATGGGGATTGGAGGTGGTTGTTTGCCCCTTCCACCCTGAGAGACTACAGTAAGAAATCACCACCTAAGAAAAGCAGGTCGCTATCAGCCCTCGATCTTGAACTTCTTCACCCTGGTCTAGACTGTGAGGAACTTACACACATGCTCATGTGCACATGCCCACACACAGACACATAACCAAAAATAAAATATTTTCTAAGTAACAGGCCCTTAGAATTTAGAGGTCGAAAACACCTAGTTGCTCGCAAGGGCTGGGACAACTTACCACAGACTGGGTGGTTTACACAACAAAAAAGTATTGTCTTACCTTCCTGGAGGCCAGACAGTTCAAGGTGGTGATGTTAGCAGGTGGTTTCCTCTGAAGCCTCCTCTGCTGGCGTCTGAGGACTTCCTCCTCCCATGTCAGAGCCTGTACATTCTCTCCTACCATCCCTGCCACACGCTACACAGCAGTCATGCCAAGCTAAGGTCCACCCTGCTCATCTCGCTGCAATTTAATTTGCTTTTTAACGTTTATGGTGGGTGGCATTTTGTCTTGGTATTCTGCTTTCTGACAGCAGGTCATTATATCTCTCCAGATGGCCTTGGACTGTCTGTCCATCCTCCTGCCTCAGCTTCCTGAGTGCTTCAACTACAGGTGTTCACCATTTTATTCAGTTCTCATTAATCCTTGAAATTCTGAAATTCTGGGACTTAAGAACTTGAGTGGAGGATAGTTCAGCCTGTAATAGCACCCCCAAAAGAGGACAGCACAGGAAGTAGGGGGACAGAATTATATTAGGAAATACTGTGGGCAGAATTATGCAGCTCAGTACACACACACCACACATGCTTACAAATACTCTCCAAACCACTTTCATCTGACACTTAGGCCTTCCCCACCTACTGACAGCCTCACACACACACATCTTGCCATCCGACCCCCCCACCCTATGTTACAGAAGACATGAAACAGGAGACTGACCTGTTTCAAAGCTGTAAACCTCAGTAGTTTTTTGACACTTAGGGTTTATCATATTTAAACTGTTACATGTTAAAGATCCTGTTTTATATAATGTGTGTTAAATGGATATAAAAATTAACTATTAACTCAAGATGCATAGTAATTAATTAGGGCAAAAGACCTTTAAAAATCACTGCCATTCAGTAAAACCGTCTCTAGGAAGATGAGCCAAGTTTACTCACATCCTCTTAGGCCTCACAGTAAAAGAAGCACCATCCAGACAGTCCTTGCCTTCTAGGAGGGGATGGGAGCTGAACATCCACGAAACTTCTCTGGCCAGTCATGTAAGGACGTATGGCAGATGCTTAATCATCCTAGGGCACTTAGCTCACCACTCAGGACTAATTCTCGTCTGAGTCCTGGAGGATGTATCTTTACATTGGCAGCTTTAGCAAACCAGCAAAGTGTGTGTGTGTGTGTGTGTGTGTGTATGTGTGTGTGTGTGTATGTGTGTGTGTGTGT